ACTTGAAACTTCACATCGATTAAGATTTACCTGCTGGGGTTCAGTTTTTCTTAAATCCACTGAGACCTGGTTAATAAATCTGAGGCGATGAATACAGTTTGGGAAGGCAGAGATCACAAGTTTCTGCAGGCCAAATCTGATCCAGAAATAGAAACATTTGGGAGGGTTTTAACATTCTTATGTCAAGACAAATCTAACGTTAAGTGATGATGAGAGCGTCTGAGCTACCATCCCAGACATGAGTGAATAAAGCTTTCCTTGTCCAAATAGGATTGATTGGAAAGAAATGACTGGCAGATGTGCAATATCCTCAATTCCTACTTCTGATTAAATTACAGGAAGATGTTCAGACTAGGGCTGTCAAGTTAACGCGTTAATAACGCGTTAACGCAACAAAAAAAATTAACGCCACTAATTATTTTAACGCGATTAACGCATGTGTATTTTTTTTCTTCGGCCGCCCCGTAGTTTCAGAGCGCATCGAGTTTAAAATATCATCTACAAGCTGATGCTGACAGCCCCGCTCCTGCCGCCCGCTTGTGGCAGACCACACTTCCACGCTCACCGGCAGGCACCGACTGGCTGTTGGGAGGACCGGGAGGGTGTGTGTATGTGTGGCCCGAGCGAGCGAGAGAGAGACCTTACGTGCATTGTTGTTGTTAGCATCTGGTGCTAGCTAGCTGCGCTAACGGATATGGAGCTGTTTAAATGAAAACAGAGGAGCGACATTTCGCCACAACTGCGCCGAGCACTTGACTTTATGCAGGAAGCCAGACAGTGGGACATTGTACGAAAAGTCAGCACACTCAGAACGGATAGTGCGCAACATGATTGCAGCGTCCAGGCAGCTCCCGTTCGAGCATATGCCTTGAGTTGCACATAGCTCCAACGATCCATCTCTCTCTCTCACACACACACACACACACACACACACACACACACACACACACACACACACACACACACACACACACACACACACACACACACACACACACACACACACACACACACACACACACACACACACACACACACACACACACCACACACACACACACACACACACACACACACACACACACACACACACACACACACACACGAGAGAGGTTCCAGGTTGAATTGAGGCGAATATTTTTAATGTTCAGAGGTTGTTGTGTTTAATATTCATGAGAATATTTGTCATTGTTCAAATGATAATAAACATTAGCATAAAGCATATTTGTCCACTCATATGTTGATAAGAGTATTAAAAACTTGAAAAATATTCCTCTAAAGTACATTTAGAACAGATAAAAAATGTGCGATTAATTTGCGATTAATCGCGATTAACTATGGACAATCATGCGATTAATCGCGATTACATATTTTAATCGACTGACAGCCCTAGTTCAGACTAATTTAATTGATCTTTACATGAGATATAATGACCTGAAAAAGTATGCAGGGCAAGTGTCAGACAATGTGTGCACCATGCAGGAGAACTCTTGAGTCTTTGCTGTGGTCCTGGATCATAGGTCCTGGATGGATATCCTCGTGGATTCATCTTCCTATTATACACACAGGCATTTCCAAACATTTGAACTACCTATGTTGCAAATGTATTATCTTTTCAATTTACACACGGTATCTATGGCACGTCTGTCCGTCCTGGGAGAGGGATCCCTCCTCTGTTGCTCTCCCTGAGGTTTCTCCCATTGTTCCCTTTAAACTGTGGGTTTTCTCCGGAAGTTTTTCCTTGTACGATGTGAGGGTCTAAGGATAGAGGGTGTCGTATTGTCATACTGATATTTGTGTACAAATTGTGAAGTCCACTGAGACAAATGTAACATTTGTGATATTGGGCTATATAAATAAACATTGATTGATTGATTGATTGAACTCAGTGGATCCTATAGTATAATGAATGTGGCATGTTGCCTCAAAGTGCACTCACTCACTGCTTGGCAGGGTGATAATTCTATCAGGTTGAGCCGCTCATTAGTTTTACAACTCAACCAAAACCTGCCGGATCACATGCCCGACAGGAGGGATCCTCTGCAGGGACGTCAGCGCTGAAGAATCTCCTGATGCACATCTGAAAACACAGAGCTGGTGAAAACAAAAAAACACCTGTGAGTGGTCGGCAAATCACAGAATATCTTTACTAACAACACTGTTAACAACGCAATATTTAAAATGAATGTAAAGCAAAGAGTGAGACAGTTTTGCTTGCTTTAAGTGAGGAAAACAAGTGAATATCAGGCAAAGGTTTGAATATCATTTACATGTACTTCATTAGAGTTGATTGAGTTTTACGAGTGTTTTAAAAACGAATATTTATACCCCTTAACAGTGGTGAAAGAAAAAGTAGGAATAGTTCAACGTAAAATGTGTAAAGTAAAAGTCTTGCCTTTAAATGTTACTCAAGTTAAAATAAAAACGTTTTATATTATTGGATGAAATGTATGTATGCAACAATGTATGTGTTTTAAAGAATATTCAAATTTGAAACATCTGAATGTTGGCTTGAGCTGAAAGTCCATAACTGTTTTACATCAACATAGTTTGGCCATTGAAATAACAGCTGTTCTTCCATGTGTATGAATCCATCAATTTAAAATAAAATGACCACATGAGGTGAACACAAACCTCACATATTGGGCTCAGACCTTCCGCACAAACAGAACTAGCAATTTGTAGATCAATTGGAGAAAATTAAAAGTATGTTGAGTGAGGCCAGTCAAATTGTCAAAAATGCTGCACATCTTGAGACTCTTATAAAACTATCATCTCAGATATCTGGAAATGATTATTTGGTCCAGGGAACATTTCCTCACCAGCTTACATCATGTCGATGCATTTCCGTCATTTGTGTTTGTTTTTCAAAGGGGTGTGTGTGTGTGAGAGAGAGTCATGAGGACAGGAGTGTTGAAACGAAGAGGAAACACCTCTAATGAACCCAGGGGTCTCGGCTGATAACTGACGTACACACATGTACCCTAAATGAAAGCAGATCTTAGTGCTGTGTCACTGCTGGAGGAGGGGAGCCTTTTTTGTGTGTGTGGGAGAAGCCCCCTCGCTGTGAGGGTCCGGGAATGCGGGGTGTCCTGAGGGGAGCATCGGCTGTGGGAGGCAGAGCAGGGGTACGAGGCCCAGATGGATGTCAGGGCAACATCTGTTCCACCTCCTGGCAGCCCTTATCAGCAGAGACGCTGCCACACACACGGGACAGGAGAGGGGAGAAGACAGAAGACAGAGAGAAAGGGGCATTCTTCGCTGGGTTTAAGAAAACATGCATTCTGTTTATCCTGTAATCGAAAGAGAGGTTCCCCGTCGGGTCGTGCATTTGCATTTCACAAACTCACAGGATTCATTTTGTTGTGTGTGACCACTATTGTTTATACTTCTGGTAGGTTGTTGTATTGTATGTGGCTCACTATTGCCCCTATAATGTATCTATCTATCTACCTATCAATAATCAATGCCTTTACATGAATGACTCCCAACCAAAGGAGCCAATACAACATTAAAGTCGTTCCTGACTCTTGTTTTCTGAATAATCTTCTTGTCAGTTTAAACAAATGCTATGACATCGACTGATTTGTATTCTGCACATTCAAACATGCAGCGATGATTAATACTAACTCATCTGTACATCTATATTCAATTTGATACTGTTGATGTTTTATTTCTGTTAAAGACATGCTTTTGTTTTAAGCATGACAAATATTCTTTACTGTTTCAGGAGTCATGCTGAGGTGGTGCTGAAAAATATAAAATATGAGGGTAATATTTTGTTAAAGCCCACATGGTTTCATTCAGTCTATTCCCCACACTGTAAGATCATGAATGTTGATATGCAGCCCATTTTCAGATTTCACATTCCCCTCCCGATAGAATATTTCTCTCACTGACTGTTCTCAGTGTAACCAGGTGCTTCATGCAAAGACACGATGTGAATGCATTGCTTTTTATGTCAGATAATCAAAACACAAATGCTCATTGTGGTAAGTTGCATTTGATGTTGGGAGGCATTCGGTTAATTCATTCTCATTCTTGACATCCATAATCTTAAAGGAGCCCTCTGGCATTTCTGCATGTTTCACCTTTTTTGTTACAAATCACACCTTCACTTTATAGGACTGCCAACAATTAAGCTTGCCCTAGTTTGTCAGATTTCTCAAAGTGTTTTTCCTCCCCTCCAGGCACCCGTTAATTACCATTCATGTTACTGAATTATGTAAATGTACTTGCAGAGACTTGAAGGTTTCTTGAGTAACTGTTTCCATCACAGTAAACATTTGCCTGCGTTATTGTTGCTTGGTAAAGTACAGATTGATTAATGAAGTCTTTACTGTGATTATACAATGATAATATAACTTTGCAGCTTATTTTCTGTAAGCCACACTGAGGGTCTGCTGCCAACAAAGGTTAGAAAATGAACAGCCAGACACAAGAAATTAAACAGGAAGCGCAGGTAAAGGTTCAGTGTGGGAGGAGAGGACCAGCTGCATATTTTTCAGGGGAATAAAACCGAGCGTATGAGATTGAGGAGGAGTGGACAAGAGAGAACTACCCTGTCTCTCTTTCTCTCTCCCAGGAGGGCTGCTTCGCTGAGGTCCTGGCCTCTATCCGTCCCCTGGGCATCCTGCATGCCCATGCTGAGGGAGGGCGGCTGTGGCGTGACCAAAGTGAAGCAGAGCGAGTGAGAGAGAGATGGAGAGAACCTGAGAGAGATAAAGAGGACTCAAAAAACAGAGAGAAAGTGAGAGCGACAGGAAGAGAGAGGGGGGAGCGAGCGCAGCAGCCCATGGTGGGTCTCAGGGCTGCAGCAGCCTCCAGAGCCGGTGTGCAGCAGACTGAAGAGAAGCACGTCTGCCCCAGAGGCAGAGACTGGAAAACAGGATCAAAGAGTCGCCAGGGCAACCTGCATGACACACATTGTATTAAAGCCACACGGTTAATTTGAAAGAGAGGGAAGGACGGCAAAAGGAGAAGAAAAGGGGAGGCAGAGGTAGCACAGAGTAGAGTATATTTATTAGGAACTCCTGTCTCCCTCGGTTAACTTTCCACTCAAAACTTTCTTCAGCTGCTCCACTTTGACTTTGAGTGCTTTTTTTTTTGTTCAACTTTGGCTCGACCTTAACTGGCTCTTCTGCATTTTCCCGATTATCTCCCAGAGTCTCACATTTCCACAGGTCACGTTAAATCATGAATCAGAGACATTGTAAAGAAAATGTTTCCAGAAACACAGGCAAATATTCAGCTCATCATACATACTGATGCATCAAGTACAAATGTTACATTGTACCAATATTTACTTAATACAGACATAAGATTAAAAAACAACTTTCAACCAACAGATACAATCCTAGAAACATGGGCTACACAGCGGAGTAATAACACAACACACTAAATAACATTTTAATACTGTTTAACAAACCCTGAACCTGCCAACCATACCCCTGTTGTGGGTTTACACATTACAAATCAATACACTAGGGCCTTAAATATGACACAGATGAGAAATATCTAACATATATATACTACAACATTTAAACAATCAAACATGGTCAATAAAAAACTAAGACAATATTGGAATTTTTAAAACTTTAATTGCCATTTGAGACAAAAAGCATGATTGAAAAAAAATAAAACAGACTGCAGTGAATATTTTAAAAACCTAAGTGTGAAGAGATGATAAGCAAGGTCAGACGACAGATTCATTTTGCATTCAAGCGATCAAATGCACCGAACCATCCAGATCTCACGTCAGGTACAAAAAGTGATTAAACTTCTAAAAACCTGGCACAATAGTGAACAAAACAACAACGGAAGCACAAAGCACATGTAGAGTAGGTGTGGACGTTACCGCAGCACATGTTGGGTACAGACACACACCTATGGCACAATGAATACGACTCATATTAAGGTGTGGAGTCCACACGAGGGCAGGGGGCTGAACATGGCATGTGGGGATAGAAACCCCACTGAGGCAAGCAGTAATGGGGACAGGGTGCGGAGCAGGGGTGGGGGGTGGTGTTGGTTGATACGGTTTGGGATGAGGCGGGGCGGGGGTCCGCGATAAACAGCAGACAGGGAGGGGTCTTCACAGACAGTTGGAAGGCATTAGGGTGTCGGACAGGGACTTGTCAGAGGCAGCTGTTGCTGTGGCTGATTGATAGAGTTTGTATTCCACCCTGATGGGGACTGGAGTCGCTACACAGTGTTGAGAGGCATTATGTCAAATCAAAAAGGAAAAAAATACAGTTGAAGTGTAGAAAAATTACAACAAATATGATATTTTCTGAACACTGAAATGACACTAAATCCATCACATTCTCTACCGTGTGGCTACGTCCAGCCAGGTTAATCATCGTGGTTGGTTTTTATTGTTTGGTCTTTGATTCCGCATAATTTATAAGCGTGGTATGATGTATAAAAAATCTGAACGTAGCTCTACAAGGTTAACATACAGAGCAATAAAATATATCCTAAATTGCACAATTATAAAAAGCATTCAGACTTGTTTCCGCTTTCTTATAATGGTCTCCATAAAGTAACCTATAGCACTTACTGAGTCACATGATTAGTAGTACTTGTGTATGGCTGCACAGCAATATGCTCGTTTGCATGTACATATTACTCCATGAGATACACAGACTACACTATTCAGATTAGATATTCAGAGATGGTGCGACACACCAATATGTAACTACCGTACATAACACAAGGCTCCGGACTCACAATCACACGACGACAGTCGTTGTCACCGAGTCTAACAGAGAAGCACACTTTACAGCCATACAGCACTTCTCAGTAGAAAGAACATCAACAAGCCCACCTAAACATCCTGTAAAGTAATTACGGATGTTAAACATATCTACAGACAACCTGGGCTCCACTCTGTGAGTGAGTGTGTGTGTGCGTGTGTGTGTGTGTGTGTGTGTGTGTGTGTGTGTGTGTGTGTGTGCGTCCTATGATGACTGAAGGAATGCCATGTGTCCCACATGCCATTGGTTAAATCACAATGGCACAGACAGTAGTAAACAAGATTTCCATTGCTGGCAAAGTCCAATGATTTTTCTTGACAAACCGCTTTACATTGCGTGGGTTTAATGGCAGCTCTCCTCTGTCAGGCTGTGGTGGCTGACTTGTGCGTACACACTCTTCCGATTTGAAAAGTGAGAGCACAGTGAAGGGAGGATAACATACGTAACACATTTCAAAGAGAGAGGCCAACATCTGCTGTATTTTACTGTGTGTGCATGTTGTCTGTGCATGAGTGTGTGTACATGGGCACCAGCAGGATGTTTTGTTATTTTGTTGTTAGCCACTAATGTCCATAGCATTAGCAACTTTAGCATCATATCCTTGCCGGCTCTGTGTCTTTGTCCTCCAACAGGCTAATGAACTGACCGAAGCTTTCCTTCACTGCTTCCAGGTTGTCGGTGGAGCTTCCCTCCAGGACCCAGCGCTTCCCTCTGGCCAGCGGCTCCAGCTCAAAGTACTTCTTCACCTGTCGGCAGAAACACAGTGTGGTCAGTCAAAACATTCGGTAGGAACTAGAGATCCTGTTGGATCACAAGGGCAACATCTTTTCAATATAAAACATTCTTAATTCAAGTTTGAATACATTTTATTTAGATTTTTACATTAACAGATAAAACACTAGTCTCAAACCATGTATCATTGAAGAACTACAGTTTGCAGGTCTTGTAATGCAAACAGCACCGGGTCATTTCAATAATTACAACCCCTCCACACATGCAGGAGAGCATCCTGCTGATTTGTTTCACTCCATGGTAAAGCATTGTGATGATTTTAGACTATGCTCAGGTTACGATCAAGCGAAGCAAGAGAGAAGACCAGAATGATCATTTAGTCATTTTATTTGGACCACAGTGTAAGGAAAGCTCTGGTTCAAATGTTGCATTACAGTATTCAGAGGCCACACTCCTTGTCCTCTGAGGCCCAGAACATAAGAAAAGCTAAATGAAAGCGCCCTGTGTATCCTCACATCAATAGGCTTTCCCTGCACAGTGGTTTCTGCGTATTAAACACATTAGGACACAGCCACGAAACTGCCCAAACACAGCTTTGCATCCAGGGTGCAACCAAAGTTAACAAATACAGTAACATCAATAACAACAAATCGTATTCTCCGGGAAAAATGTGGCTTGGCTGTGCTTTTGGTAACAGTTGATTATATGTTGGCTTTGGCTGCTCATAACAGTGGGGGTGTGGTGAGTTTGGGAGGGAGAACCAGAACCAGCTGCTACGTAAAAACAAATATCGACAGAGAGAAACAATGTCTTAGACCGCCACGCGAGGTACGGCAGGTTGTTAGGGTTTCTGACATTTCCAAGCGGAGAGTAATGGAAGCAATTTAGTTTGCCCGATGAGGACGAAGTTCAGCCATCTCCTCCCGTTTGTCTGATAGCCAGTGAAAAACGGACACATGTGTACTGTCGGCAGCGCTAGGAAAGAAATGAAAAGCTACTAATGTCACTGATGCAGTAAAACCACATTTTCCCACCATGTATACTCATGCAGTCATTCATGTTCAGATTGGCAGATTTGGTCAAAAGAAATGTGTCTCTCGTAATGATAATAATAATAATCTATGTTTGGCCATCACAGTTTATATTTTGTATTCAAAACTCTTTACAAATGTGACAGAAGTGGAAGGGCATTTTCTTTGCTTGTCAAAATATGAAAGCCTTGAAAATAATCAGTATATATACTATAAAGTATGATTCTTTTCTTTGTTTTCATATTTTTGAATAATCTGGTTTTCAATCATTAAAGCTGACAGGCTAGAAAGGGAACATTCATCAGTAATACCAATATCATAAATCCATCCAAATCCAGTATGACTTTTCTCACAATCTGTTTAGGTTTCAAATAGCATTTCTACACATTTCTGCACATCTCAAACAAAGATTAAATCAACAGTGTTGTAGTAATCAGTATTCTGAATTGATATTTTTCCAATTCAAATACACGTGCCCCCCGGAAACTGCAGCAATCACACACAGGTGCCCGTCACACAGGGAAATGACTTTTCAACTTCAAGTGAAATTGCTTTTGTCTAGACCGTGCTGTGCTGTCTAGCTGTGCCATGGTGTGTGGCATGAAGAGGATAGAGAGGAGGAGGAGGAGGAGGAGGAGGAGGAGGAGGAGGAGGAGGAGGAGGAGGAGGAGGAGGAGGAGGAGGAGGAGGAGGAGGGGAGGAGGAGGAGGAGGGGGGTATTTCTTTGTGTCTGCTCAAATCCAGCCAGCCATGCCAGTGATAGGGAGAGCGAGCACTGTCTCTGCCCCTGAGCCGAGTCTCTGTCCGGGTGTAATGTGAGTTTAATGACAGATTAAGTCACCTCAGTCGCGTTTGGCTCAGAGGCCTGGCTAGAAAGCCGAGCGGACCCAAACAGTGTTAACAAATCTGTCTGGGTAACTCGAGCTGCCCTGGTCCATGCTATAGCCCCAGACCTAGACTGCAGACGATGCGGCTGGCTGCCTGTCTGGCTGGCTCACTTGTCCGCCTGTAGCCAAGGCCCTCTTCTGGAAGACTCTGGCCCCTGCACTGGCAGGCAGTCAAACGGCCAGCAGTGACCTCTGAGCAAGTGCAGACAGGCTCAAGCTTCTCTCACTTCCTCGCCTGGTGGGCCCAACAGAACACGCCCAGGGGCATCTCCAGTTGGGCAAATGTCTTCCACCCGTCGTAAGATTAGACAACTGCCACAAACCAGATGGCTTATTACGTTTCAGTGCAGTATAACAATTGTGCACGAGGAGTCCGAGACACCCAAGAATCACCCCTGTAATAATACTTAATTGGTATAAACACCTTCATACAGGCTGCATTTCATTGAAAGGGCAAATACAATCCAGAGATTTACCAGGCGGGCGGGGTAAGTCGCCAAAAACGCTGCCTAAGTGTTACATGACTGAAGGAACCCCATGACCTGAGAGCCGGTGGACCTACCCTGGCAGTCCACGGTGAGGGCCAAACCAGTTTCTCTGAGATTAAGTCCTCTAAGCACACTTATGCTTGCTTAAGGAATTGCGTGAGGCAGTGGGACGGGTAAGCCACACAAGACATGGGTTGCCAGATGGCTCCGAGGATGACCACTGGGTCATATGAGGGGCCGTACAGGCCGTAATTCATACTGGTCCTCTCACGCACATACATTCTCCTTTTACATACATATATTTTCACTCTTACATCCATACATTCTCCTTTTACATACATACATTTTCACTCTTACATACATACATTCTCCTTTTACATACATACATTTTCACTCTTACATACATACATACATTCTCCTTTTACATACATATATTTTCACTCTTACATACATACATTCTCCTTTTACATACATATATTTTATAATATATGCATGTCTGAAGAGAATATATGTATGCAAGAGAAGAATGTATGTATGTGTGAAGACAATATATGTATGTGAGAGAAGAATGTATGTATGTGTGAGAGAAAGTATAGTGGAAACGGAAGGAGTATGGTTGAAACGGAAGGCAGGTCATTCTTGCGCTGTGATTGGCTCAGAAGGTCGAGCGGGGTGGGCTCATGTTCAGAACTTCTGATTCAAATCAACATGATGGAGGGAGAGGGTTAGGGTTAGATGACTCCGTGTATCTACGGACCACTTGTTTTTCTTTATTAAACAAGTAAACGGAAGAGTGTCTGCGAGGCGTTTTTGATTTTTACCTTACTAAATGGTCTAATGGTCATTGTAGCGAGGGGGGGGGGGACGCGGGGCGCGATACTCGCGGAAGTGATTTCAAAACAAAAGCACTCGTTTGCTTGGAACGTTGAACATAATTATAAACAAGGGGAAACAAGGTGAATTTAGCGATCACAATGAAAACGGCCAAGACACACATTGAGCCCAGAAAATGAATGTTATTAAGGCTGTAAATATAATAAGCATGTGTCTAAAATTGACAACATTGTTAGGAGATTTAAACTATACAGCGATTCTGCACTGCGGTCACTCAGCCGTCTCTCGCGTTTGTCTTTTCAAATCAGCTGCTCTTTATATTTTACAAATATTTTTTACTGAAAGTTCTTAATAAAACTGACACTGTTGGACTCGAGGGGAGAAGAATAAATGGACAACATTGTTAGGAGATTTAAACTATACAGAAAGCCGTTTTTTCAAATCAGTAGCTCTTCATTTTCTTTTTACAAATATATTTTACCACAAGTTCTTCATAAAACTGACACTGTTGGACTCGGTACTAGTTTGACTGCTACTAACAATACATTGAAGTACTTTTACTGTGTACTTTGTGAGAAATACTCTGTCAAAGTCCCCTCCATATAGCACATCATCTAATGCATCAGTCCGTCCCAGGAGGGAGTTTATAAACCAAAGAGTAACCGCCCTTACGGCACGCTCTGATAAGTAAAGCGAACGCACCCGCAAGGACACCTGGCCAGGGATGTGACAGTTTCAGGGGTTGACCAAATGTTCCTTAAAACCCCTAATGCTTGCTGCAATCTACGCGATTCATCTCCCTCCATCATGTTATGTTGATTTGAAATCAGAAGTTCTGAACATTTTCAGAATGTACACAGTGTAGGACTGTATTTTATAGTGACCCTTAAGTATAACCTACAATGTCACGGACAATTACAGTACGCAGCATGCTGACATGTACCAGTAACTGGCAGGGATTTATCTTCCATGGAGCATTCTCATCATTGAATCCCTACCCTTTGTGTTTACTATAGTCATTTTTGCAATTGTGTTAGTGCCGAGAAATTCAGGTTAAGTGCCCTTCTCAAGGGTGCGATAGCAGAGGTCCAAGGCAACACAGTTAACATGCCATATTCAGGATCTTTGTGATAAAAAGTCCTGCTGTGGCTCAATGGTCCTGAAGTATGTACGTGATTCGGGAAATCTAAGTCAGTTCTACCATTCTTGCAGAGGTTAACAGCAATGCCAGATGTAACAGATGCAGGTTTGTTGGATACACTCCGACAGCAGATCAGTATCGTAAAAGAAAGTTAAATGACCTGCGCTGTCAACTCTCAATTTCTCATTTAGAGCTGAGGTTTTTTTGTTGTAAAGTCTGGCTCTTGCAGCTGCCTCAGGATCCAAAGGTCTGAGAAACATATCTAAACTAAATTCAATAATATCAAATAATACTAATAATCTCTTCCTGTTTAAGAAATAAGATCATAAAAGGAAGAACAGGAAATGTTTACTTGAGACGATTTTGCCTTTCAGCCATGTTTGAAAAAGCCAAAACAGAAATAGAAGCTGATAAAGGGACTTACTCAAACCGATAGGTTATCCTTCAAAGACTGCTTTCCTGCAGGCAACTATCACAAGTCCTCTGTGGAGCAAGGAAAGCTTTACTCAATAAACTCATTGGAGAACCAGTGATTTTAGCCTAGAGGTTTTCATTTGGATAAACTTCAGCATGGGCCCTTTTTCAACAAAAATAACATCCTTTGTTCAAAGGCTTGTGCATAAAGTGACCTAT